ACACACACACACACACATGCACACATATATAATAATATATACAAATCGACAAACAGATCAATCAGCAATCAACACAAAAACAAACCGACGAACCTGTGTTATCCAGAGAGGACAAGAGATTGGGGTACTCGGACGCCTGAAGATCATCGTCTGTGTTCTTGTCTGTGCGAAGGTATAGGACAGCCAGGGGGCTCTCCCGGTAGATCTTGATGAGTAGAAGTCGTTATGGTACACAAGTGTGGCATTGTGGTGAAATCTGGCGTTCGTCAAAATAATAAAATCAAAGAAACCAACATTTTTCGCCCGTGGGGTAATCTTTATCGGTTTTCTTTCTCTTTGCCTCAATACTTGTTATGGCTAACTTTTTTGGTGACCCCTCGCCCCCTCCCCAAAAAATACAAAATAGATAATTAATGTAACCTTACCTTGCAGTTTCCAAGGATACTCTAACCTTATACAGACTTTACAGCCATTTCCCCCCTAATTTTACTTATGAAACCTGACGAACCCCGCATTCTTCAATCGCATATAATCTATCACGACTTCACTTCAAGATAGATGGGTATTTAAAAAAATGAAAAGTAAGACTAATATACAAGTTTTTAGATAATACCAATAAGATCATATTGTCCCCCTCAAAATTGACGAGCCCCTGATTCCACCGTGTGTCGTGACTTGTGACACATGTGAAGACCACAATCGGGAAATGATCAGTCGCAAGCATGAAATTAACATTTTTAATTCATCTGTATCACGATGGCGTCGGGCGCAAACCGTCCAAGTCCAACATTTCTTTTAAACATTTTTTTCTTTGTTTCTTTAACTTATAAGTATAAGACGCGTTAATATTTCTGTCTCCAGAAAAATTCTGAAATTATGCAAACTGAGCCCAAAAAATGTGAAATTATGCGATTCTGTTAATTTTAACAAAGAATGATATTATAATTATGCACACAAAAAAAAGATTAAATTTTGCTAAATGCTGCGGGGTACATAAAATAACGGGAACAAATATTTGGCGTAAATAGACACAATATATCCCTCAAACATATCGCAACCTCAGAATTACAACCTTCTATCTGACAATTTTGGCTGTTTTGAGTTGCTTAGACCATGAGATCAGAAACCAAATTGTTATACCTGCTCTATCAAAATGATACGATAATTCGGAGTCGTTATTAAGTTTTCAAATAAAAGCATTCAAGAAAGTTTGAAATGTTCTGAAACTCAATTAACTCCCTTACGTCAAATCTCACAAAACTATATATTGAGCGGATAGATCTTTGTAATAATTCTTAGGTAGCGACGTTTACAACTATTCCTGTTGACTGAGTGCTTACATTCACTTTATTTTCGTACGCAGTTTTTTGTTTGTTTTGTTTTGTTGTTTTTTAGGTTGTTTTTTGTTGTTGCTTTCCCTGAAAATTTAGTTTAGATGGGCTAGGCTGGTTTGCGGGCTACGTCATCGATAGGGAATACGCCTACTCTCAACCCTCTAAGAATGTCACGCACATATAATTGGCATTCAATCAGAAGCAGGCCAGAGGCAATGCAGTGGCAAGAAGTAAATACAAATAAGAAACAAGAATATAGAGCGAGGGAGACATGGAGAGAGAGATAGATAGATAGAGAGAGAGAGATAGATAGATAGAGAGAGAGAGATAGAGAGAGAGAGAGAGAGAGAAAGAGA